TAGTGAATATGTTTCATAATGTCTTGACTTGGGTATTTTAGGGAATACCTCTTGTAATGAAGAAACATTATTCTTTTGATTGAAATTCAACAAATACTTCAATTTCTTTTCTTCTTTTAAATTTAAATAAAATCGCATACAATTTTTTTAAATTAAGAAGGTAGTTTTACTAGAGGATAGTTTTATTTTTTATAAAGGTCTTCCTGGCTACCTGACTTCCCCCGCTCGAGTCCCACATGGGCCTGTGAGCCCAACCCTGATCGTGGTATCCACCCCACCCCCTGCACATCTGCTGTTTGTAGTCAGGACTGCAGAAATTAAGTACACTTTGTGATGTGAATCAACTGTCCGAAATTCCACTACTTAGTGAAATATATAATTCTCCATAGCAAGAGTAAATTTTCACAAAAAGATTCCACATTTAATTCTTGACTGTTCAGAAAAAAAAATATGACTTAAAAATCACTCCCTGTAGTACCAAATAATCAGCACTTAACTGGGTGACTACTGTGTGCCTGGTGCTGCTGTACCTAACATACTCAGTGTGAGGAAACACAATTTTTACTCTTAAAGGGATTTTAATTTACATGGGGCAGACACATTAAAAGTTTTCCCAATTTTCTCCCAGCAGGATCTAGATCTTAGGTAGTTCCCAAGAGGGAAATATATATATATATATATACACACACACACACACATATATATTTGTTTGTTTATATTTGTAAGTTTTGGTTTGTTTTTCATATATCCAAGAAAGTTGTTGAGTTTCATAGGGCACAGTGCTGGATACTAAGAATGTCGTTGTGATCAAGAGGTAGAATCCCTGCTCAATCTAGTAAACCATTATGGGGGTTACATGGGACTCCCCCAGTGAGCCAGTCCTTGTGTGGTCTTCTCCCCTGGAATGCTGTAGAAGTGATTCTGTGATAGCCCCAGCACTGGACATGTGTTTTAAATTCAGAGGTATTTTACCTGAAGAGGTGTCTGGAGGTTCAAGAGAAAACATATTGAGCATATTATTTGCAAATGTAGTGAACGTGATGTTTAAAATAAGCTGATACTATGTTTTGACGCTTTTAGTAAGTCTGTAGTTTCCTTTTCATCCAAATAAACCTGGTTGCCAAAAACTGTGTTTCAATGCAAAATGCATGCCACAATGTGTATTTTACCTTTTTCTTTCTTTGGGACCCCGTGTGCCTCAAGTTGGGGGAGGGTGGCCAGCTCTGCTATGTTAAGGATTCCATCTTAGCCAAAAGGTGTTTCATAAATTATGTATAACAGTAGATGCCACTCAATAAATATTTTATACGTGATAGATATTTTTGTCTGAAATTACTTTTTCACTTGAGCAATGATTTAAACCCTCGTTTCCAGTTTTATGAGGTGACACTTTTATAATATCATGTAGTTGAATGCAGCTTGAATGTCATAGAGCTTTAGGGCAGCATTAATCATAAATCCATCTCCCCCCACTTCCAATCCTGGAAAACTTTCTCTTACTTCAGGTTTTACCCATTATATTTATAGAAGTATGTGTGAACATGTGCTTGCGTGTACGTGTGTGTATGTGTGCGTGTACATGTTGGGGGGTGGATGGAAACAAGGAAGGTTTTTGACCTAATGGCTTCGAAGCTATGAATTTCCAGTGCTTTTCAAAGTCTGTGAGACTTATTTCAAGGAAGAACAAAAGTGTTTTTCAATGGTTAAAGAAAGAATATTAAATTAAACTGGGATGTAGTCCAAAGCAATTTCTCTAGTTTGAGTGGTAGCTATTAAAGTTTAAAATACTGCTTTTGTGGGGAGGTGGTTATTGTACACTTTTGTGTAGAAAGAAAGTATATACACCTCTGGACTTAGGAGAAAAGTCACTCTCCTTTTCACATGGACCTAAAATCCTGGAACAATTTATTGCCAAGGGGCTGCTTACCGTGTGTGTAGTGCTGTCACAGTTCAGAGCTACCTCTCCTTCCCGTGAGGATGTTGTTTTATGAAATGGAGCTGTGTGATTAAATTCTCCCCTGTAATAAATCTTTTTTTTTTTTTTTTTTTTTTAATAAAAATCACATAGTTGCCACTTTTGCTGGAATTCTGTGCAGGAGGAAAAGCATGAATTCTGCTAATATCGGGGAGGTAGGAGTAGGAGTTGGTTTGTGTAGAGTGCTCATTTTAGCTAAGATTTGCACAGGCCTTGCTATAGTAAATCAATGTTACCGAAGCCTCTGACCTCAAAGCCTGAGGATCTGAGGCAGGGAATGGGAGCCTGGCTGATAAGGGGAGTAATTGAAGAACAATGATTCGCTTCATTTCCTTTTCTTGAATCTAAGTTATGCATTGGTCATTTTCTCTGTGTGTCTATTTAATGGTTGTTAAATTAAATTGCTTTCTTTCAAGTGATAATTTTTATGTTTGTTTTTTTTTTTTTAAGCCATCCTTTTTTGCCACTTCATTTTAGCACTCTCTTGCATGTCTCCAGATCTTTGGGTATACATTTGGGACTTAAATGTCTGTAGAGAGGGACTGAGGGACTTCTCTCTCTCCACTGCCCTGCCCCAGAACCTCCTAGGAGCTCACTAGTCTGCAAGGTCTGAGTTTTGCTGTGATGGTCTTACACTAGCTTGAGAAGTTCTGTATCCATTATCTAGAGAATTGGAGACTCTGTAGGTTGTTTTAATATTTAAATGACACTAAATGCATCTATTCCTTGTAAGCAGTAGCGATTGTGTTTGGGGACAGAGTTGTATCTTGGTCACTGCGTCTGATTGTAGGGGTAGGGAAGTGGTGAGGGGAGGGGAAGGGAGACAATTCTCCAGGAGCATCTCCGACCAGGAGCCCAGGTTAGCAACTTGGAACTTGCTCTTCTGTTGCTCCCATCACACCTACAGTCACAGCACAGTGTCATGCTCTTAGGTGTGACTCAGTCTGAACTTGGCATTGCCCAACCTCAAGACTGGTATTTTTACCTTCAGTCATCTGGGATTTGCCTGCTTCCATTTCAGACTTCCCTAGAAGCCTGATTTTAGAGATCTTTTGTCTTTGGCCAGATGAGCCTGATGTTAAGACATGAACATCTTCCCTCAGGGGTTGCCTCTGACCCTCCTTCCTACAGTTCTCTCAATTCTGAACTCTGCACACCTACTCATTTATTCATGCCTTTGACGAATTTTAATTGAGGAGCTACCATGCATCAGACATGAAATTAGGCACTGGATTATATTCTAGTCAGGGGATAGGTAATAAACATGTATGTATATAATATATGAAGTAGTAATAATTGCCAAGGAAGAATCAGATCAGCATGAGGAAAGTTGGTAATTGCTACTTTGTATAGGCTGATTGGGAAAGTGGCTTTGAGCAGAGACCCAAAGGAAGTAAGGGGCCAAGTTATATATGTATCCAGGGCGATGCTTCTTAACTGGGCCGATTTTGTCCCCCAAGGGATATTTGGCAATGTCTGGGACACGTTTGGTTGTCACAACATTGGAGGAGGGTGGTGTGTTACTCGTATCTATTATAGTGATAGAGGCAGGGATGCTGCTAAACATCCTACAGTGCAGAGGAATGAGTTGTCTGGTCCAAAATGTTAGTAGTGCTGAGATCAAGAATCTCTGCTCCAGGGGATGAGATGGACTAGCAGTGACAGAAGAAACAGCAACGAGCACAGCCATGAGATGTGGGCAGGCTGGTGGGTTTGAGGAACATCAAGGAGCCATGGATCCTAGAGAGGAGTGAGCAAGAGGGAGGAGGGGGCAGGAGATGAGAGTGGGAGATGGGCAAGGGATGAGATCATGTAGAACTTTATAGAATATTACAGAGACTCTGGCTTTGTCTTAGTGAAATGGGAGACCATTTAAAGAATCTGGCAGAGCAGTGGCCTGCCCTGACAGCCCTCTGGCTACTAAGTTTGGGCCAGGGAGGAGTGGGGCAGGGGATTTGACATTACCAGATTTGGCATATTTTGCAGGTAGAGTCAACACTAAATATTTGGAGTTTAAAGAAGAAAAGAACAATGTGTAGCCATGGGTTTTGGTCCAGGCAACTATAAGGAAGGTTGACATTTTCTGGGATGGGATAGCCTACAGGTGTCGGAGGCAGGGGGACTCAGGGGTTGGTTTTCTTAATGTATTAAGTTTGAGCTGCCTGTTTGGTATCTCCACTGGTACAACGAGACGGGTGGGTATGTATGCCTGAGTATGGAATTTAAGGGAGAGGTCTACCCTGGGGATTTAAATTTGAGAGTCGTCAACATATAGTTGGCAGGTAGAGTCAAGAGACAGAAGGAGACCATCAAGGGAGTGAGTGTAGGCAGACAGGAGCCCCAAGGAGGATAGCCGTCACAGAGTGGGTTCAAGAAAGAGTGAGAGGGGAGAATTGGAGAACTACCAGTATAGGGAACTTTTTGGAGGCGATTTTCTTTAAAAGGACACAGAAATTGGCGATAGCTGGAGGGAGATGCAAGGCCAAGGGAGGTGATGGTGGGTGGTGAGAGGTCTGTGGCAGATTTGTCTGTACGTGGGAATGACCCTGGGGATAGGAGAGGCTGGTGTGCAGGAGGCAGTGGGTCAGATACCATTGGTGCAGAGGTAGCTGATGCCCAGGAAAAGCTTCCTCCCAAGACATGCAGAGGTCAACCATGGTAGCTGCAGACAAAAGCCAACAGTTAAGGAGACATCTAGACATTAAATGATATTAAGGCTCTGAAGAGGGGAAAGATTATGTTGTTATTTGAGTAATCCTAGAACCTTTCCTAATAGGTTTGTAGAGATTATATATGAGATATTAAATTTAATTCATTCTACACTGAGCTTTTTATATGTTTCGTGTTCATTTTGCTTACCACCTGCCAGGATTTCAATATGGAGAAAGATTAAGGTCCATTTTTTCTTGCAGTGTTTTTAGAGGAGAGAGAAAATATTGCTCATTGTAACAATCTAAAGAACACCTAATATGAAGTTCTTTTTCCCCAAAGTAATCATTTCCTTTTCTTTTCCTCTTCATTTCAGGAGCAAACTCTAGCCCTTAGGAAAGAAGGGATTGGAGTTGTTTTGGATTCTGAACTGCCACATTTGATTGGCATTGATGATGACCTTCTGAGCACTGGGATCATCTTATATCACTTGAAGGTGGGAGCTGCTTAAGCAAAACGTTATAATTTTGCAGACACTAGCAAAGTTTATTATAATACTTTATGGCCACGAACACAACTATTAAATTAAAGAATATACTACAAATCCTCGAGCCCTTTGGGGGTTTTAAATGATTCATTGGGATTTTGTGGCATTTGAAGTTCCATGTTTATGTAGTTCATTTGCCTTCTATTCTGTAGAGTCAGTAAGAGGCAGGTAAGGAACCAAAACGCAGACAGACTGAGGAAGAAAAGTTGCAAATCCCTAGACCTGGGGTTTCATTGTATGTACGGTTTCCTAGTCCCTAGTGGAATTATAAATTTGTGCCTCCCACCATCATTGCTGGGCATGGCTCCTAGCAGGCCATTCATGTCAAGAGTACAGAATTCCACATCTGTATCAGTGGTTACCTATGTGACCTTGACTTTAGTGTCCCCTCTCTGATCCGTGATTTAAAACAAGAATAGTACTGCACTTAGGTTTTACGGACTCTCATAAACTCTGTCTTTCTGCACAAAGAAACCCATAGCCATTGAGGAGAAACTTCCCAGAAGGGAAGGAAATATCAGTGAGATGACTGTCTGGAGCAAATTGCCAATGCATCCCAAAATAGAAGCCTAGCCACTGTTGAACATTAAACCTCAGGAATTGCACTATCAGTTTCCAGACAACCTGGGGCATTATTCCAGAGCCTCAGTGAGCTCTAGTTAAACTGAGGCTGTGGCCTTCCCAAGACATTGTTCATTCCATTGGCCACCATTTTGCCTAGGCTTAAATAAAAAGTGGAGAAACAAGTTCTTACTGGTAAATTTTGTTTGGCTTTTCTTCCCAGGAAGGTCAGACATATGTTGGTAGAGAAGATGCTTCAACAGAGCAAGATATTGGTGAGAATCTTTATCAATGATCTCTTCCCAGCAACTTTTTTTATTTGAAAATATACATGGGGCACCTATGTTTTTATTACATGGATACTTTGTATAATGCTTAAGTTGGGATTTGTAGCATGCCCATCATCAGAATAGTGTTCATTGTACCCGACCAGTGATTTCTTAAGGTCATATTTAATGATGAACCCTCTTTTGAATAACTGACATTGAAGTAATTATAAAAAAGAAAAATTCAAATACAATATTGGAAAATATATATATTTATGTAATTTTGAACACAATTAATGAATAAAATGAAATTATGAATGTTTTCCCTACCATACTGAATTATATACCTTGTCAGGTCTTTAAGAATACAGTTACTTAAGTCACTCTATACTTGTTACATTGGGACAATGATTGATGGAGATATGCCAACAGACACAGAAAAAGGATGTAAGTCTTTTTTTTTTTTGGGAGACAGGATCTTGCTATTAACCCAGGCTGGAGTGCAGTTGTGTCATCATAGCTCAAGGCAACCTCAAACTCCTGGGCTCAAGTGATCCTCCTACCTCAGCCTCCTGAGTAGGTGGGATTAGGCGCACGCCACCACACCTGGCTAATTTTTTTTTAATTTTTTGTAGAGACAGGGTACCACTATGTTGCCTAGACTGGTGTTGAACTCTTTGCCTCAAGCGATCCTCTTGCCTCAGCCTCCCAAAGTGCTGGGATTAGGGGCATGAGCCACTGTGCTCAGCCATAAGGCTTTTTAATGGGAAGGATATAGACACTTACCTGCACAAGATGACAACAGAAGGTAGGAGACAGTGCAGCATATACACATGTGGAGGTGTGACTTTTTGGGTTTCCCAAAAGTCTTCCCAAAGTACACACATAACCAGTGACTTAGCCTCTGTACATGAATCCTGCCAGGCTTTCAGGGCAAAACTAAGGCAATTGGTGGCGATTGAGGTAGTGGTGGTGGTGGGTGTATGTGTGTGTGGCAAGGTTGGGATTAGCAGGGAAAGAGTTACATCGTCTCTGCTGTTTTAAGAATTGCTGGCAATGAACCTGCTTTCTCACCAAGTGTGAGCTATTAATCAAGCCGATTCTAGCATATTCCTAAATGTATTTACTATTTACTGTGAGATTGGGAGAGATGAAAACCAATTCCCAGAAATCTCCAGGTTCACCTATTTTTGAGTAGAACTAGGCTAGGCATCTGGCCTCTTCTTCTAATCATTGAGTTATGTATTTGACCTTTGGGGTAGCTATAGAAGATGATGAGTAGTAAGAACACATGTTTTATATGATCAGCAAAGTTTTGTAGTACAAATCTGTGGAGAGATTAGGAGCTATTGTCTGTACTCCTGAGAAGCTGGCCAAGAACTGTGCCGAAAATCATGTAGGTTTATTTGATGGGCATTCATATCTGTACCTGGACATTCTTCAAACAAGAGGAATCCATAGCCATACGTTTATAGGTAAACCTTAGCGGCCACATGCTCAGAGAGCTCTCAAAACTGACTCAGGCTCTGGCAGTGGGCATCCCAGCACCCCGTCTGGAGACTTCTTGGGCCTCCAGATCCATGTCATGCTAAGATCACCTTTGGTGTCTGCTCCTGGAACACAGCATCTCCAAACATGGAGGTCACAATAAGTCCTTGACCCAAGGAGCCCTTTTGCCCCCGGATTTTTCTGTGGCCTCTGATGGCTGGTGGAGGAAATTTATTCAGTATCAAACAGAGCACCTCAATGGTGTTCAGTTAAGACAAAGTTGCCTGTTTTCTCCCTAAGGATGAAGTAAGCTAACATCCCAGATTTCCTTATGTAGGCGATGTCCAGACCCTGATGCCATGAGCTCCTAAAATTCACTTTTCTCACTAAGCATCAAGGTTCATGTCACAATACGTAACACAGAAAAGGAAGGGTATTTAGCATGTGAATTAATAAATAGCTGGGAATGATTGCAGTAGATATCAAAGGGAAAAAAAATTCTTTCTCCTTTGTTTTTTTTCAACTTAGTTCTTCATGGCCTTGACTTGGAGAGTGAGCACTGTGTCTTTGAAAATGTCGGGGGGACAGTGACTCTGATTCCCCTGAGTGGGTCTCAGTGTTCCGTGAATGGTGTTCAGATCATGGAGGCCACACATCTAAATCAAGGTATCTGGTTTTTGATTTTCAGAGTTCTTTGTATGTATTGTTGTGAGAAAACAAGTTGGCTAGGCAGTGGGAGAACATGCACCTCTCAGAATTAATTACTGATTAAATATAACAAGGGTGAAGACTACAGCTTCAGTATGCTGTTTTTCTGTTTGGCTGGATGGCTTCTTTATAATACCCACTGTCTTGTTGAATTAAACATGAACATATATGTAATTGTCCTAAAAGTTGTTACGGAAATATGACACTAATGGAATTTCTAAGTTAAAAAATATCCCTCAAATGCAAAACCTGAACACAATGGTTTCTTTTAATAATTTAATTTTCATTATTTATGCTTATGAATAGTTATAATTATAACATACATAGAGGATTTGGTATCATGCCTATTTTTCTTTTAAATAACTTCAATATTACAGAAAAGCTGCAAGAATAGTACCAAGAACTTTTAAATTTCAGAGTTATTTGAGATGAAATGGTGCCCCACCACTTTGAATACTTCAGTGTGTATTTCCTTTAAACAGTGACATCACATTAGGACACTACTGCTGACACTACTGCTGATACATTTCTACCATCCGATCCTGGGACCCCATTCAAGTTTCTCCATTTGCCCCAACACTGTCCCTTATGGTCCCTATTCAGTCTGGCTTCCTGTGTGGCATTTGGTTGCCACATCACTCTAGTCTCTTTCAGTCTCCAGAGAGTCACAATTCCTTGGTCTTTCCTGGACTTTTATGACTTTGACAGTTTTGAAAACAGTAGGTCAGATATGTTGTAGATTGTCCCTCTACATGAATGTAGGATTTATCTTTGTTTCCTCATGGTTAGACTAATAGTTTGCATTTTGACAAGATTATCAGAGATGTCATGTTATGTTTTCCTCATATCTTATGACATGATTTCCCATTATCTCATTACTGGTGATGTTCACTTTGATCTCTCAATTAAGATGGAGCTTGCCACATGCTTTCTTCCCTGTGAAGTTACTCCTTTCCCCTCTGTTGTCAATATGTATGTTGGGAAAGTACTTTGAGATCATAAATATTCTATTCTTGGTCATACTTTCACCCACTGGTTTTAGAATCCATTTTTTTTATTGAATTAATAATTATTCTGATAGTTGCCAAATGGTGATTTTTAAATTTCATCATTCTTTCTACATTTATTAATTTTTTTTTATTATAAGAAAGAACTTTCTCTTCTTGCCATTTTCTAATTAAATCAATAGGGTCACACAGCTTGCTATTTTTATTTTACTAGATTTTGATCTGTTTTTATCATTATTTATTTTGATACTCAAATTGTCCCAGATTTGGCCAGTGGGAGTTCCTTCAGGCTGGCTTTTGTGTCCTTTGGCTTGTCCTCCGTGTTCTGCAAGCACTTCCTTACTTGCTGACACAAGATATTCCAGGCTTATCTCATACTTTCCTGGGACTAACCAGTTCTCCAAGGAGCCCTGGTTCCTTTTGTCAGGATTCATGGTTGGTAATCTTGTTTGTCCTTGGTTCTTGGTGTGCTTTTGGCCAAAGAATGACCAGACACACTAAAATCAAGACAAGGATGAAACCCAGTTTCCCAAGAAGGTCAGAGGTCAGCAGCCAAAGAATGACCAGACACACCAAAATCAAGACAAGGATGAAACCCAGTTTCCCAAGAAGGTCAGAGGTCAGCAGTAGGAGATGACCAACCTAAGCAAAGGACACAGTGAGCACCCAGTGATCATTACCAAAGCTGCATATTCTGCGTTTTTGCAACCAGGATGAGCACTCTGGCAATAGTGTGCTCATATAGGACAGGGAAATAAGTTATTTCCAGACAGCGGCATCAGTCATGGTGGGAGGCTATCTCTGTCCTGTGCCCAGAAAGTCACCATAATTGACAGGCAAGCAGTCACCATGTAGGGCTCTTTAGTGACAAGCCCTGCTTGCAAACTCACAGGCTTCAGTGCTGACAGCACGGGTAATTGAAGGGCAAAGTTAACACACATCCCCACCAGTGAATCATGCAAGTGGAGTCTAGACCGCAGCCAGTTCACCTGCTTGTTCTCCATCGGGACCTCAGGTGAAGGTTCTGCTGCTTTCCCTCCAGACAGCAGGGGCTGGGACCTGGGGCATGGTGAGAGATAACATCTCTTTGGCCCAGGGAGAAGGACTGCAGAGACTGTTGAGATCCCTGTATGGGCTGCATCTCCCTCAGGCCAGAGGGAGGTAACCTTACCTAGAAGACTGCGTTTATTCTAACAGGGTTTCACAGTAGACTTGTACTGGTTTTCAAAATCATTGCTAACCTATGAGTAGAGCAGTTTCCCTGTTGCCTCCCAGAATTGTGGGAAATGAAACATGTATTTTTTTTCCCTGATTAATTTTGAGTGCATACTCTGTTTACCCTTATAATTCCTTATAACCATTTTCTCATATCGATTTAGATATGTTCCCAATATTTATAGTGTTTTCTATTTATATATGATTTTATTACTTTTTAAATCTACTTTTCATTTCCTTTGATCTACTGTTCTTTTCTTTGTTATTTCTTGGATAATTTTAAAATCAGCCACAGAGCTAGAAAACACTTGCTTTTACTTTCTGTTATTTTCTCCCAAGTTTTTGTTTTGAAATATTTAATTATTTATAGTACTTCGAGGGTTCATTGGCTTATACAGTATAGCTGTAATTTAACTTTTCTTCCCCATATTGGCATACCATTTATCATAACCACTTTATACCCAGCCGTTTCTTGAAGAAACTTACTTTACCAAAAATGAAAACACATACAGCATTACATGTATTCCTTGGCATTCCACTTTCTTCCAGTACCCTGTGTTTCTGCTTTTATACCAGTATCACACAGTTTTAATACTTGTTGTTTTAAAATATGCTTTAATCTCTATTCTTATCTGAGTGTTTTTTTTGCTATTCATGCCTATTAATTCTTTCAAAAAAATTTTAGAATAGTATTTTTTGGGTTAAAATATCCTTTGAGGTATTAGAGTCTAATTTCCTTTGATTTATTTGCATTTTAAGAACATATTCCCATCTTGAATCTCCTTGTACAATATGCCTCTTATGTTTGAATTTTCATCTATTTCTTTCAATAAAACTTTGAAGATTTTTCATATATATATTTGTTGAACTGTGTTCATGAATATAAAATTGCAAACATAATTGCATACAATTAGGATTGACGGGGGGGGGGAGGGGGCTGGTGGGGGGGGAGATTCTTTAGTATAAGTAGTTTTTGACTCAGAAATAGCCCATAAACATTACCATTGGCTGTTGGATCCACCTGGCGTTTTGCCCCTGCGTTTGAACTATTGCGCAGTAGTTGACTGCCCCCGGCTGCTTTTCCCTGGAGCTCTTGGAGTTTCATCAAGCACAGCCCCTGATGCTGAGTGGATTATGGATTGCAGTGACTTCTGTTCCTGTTGTCTTGGGGTTAAATAGTCTCTTGTAGATTGGCCTGTGGGAAAATCATTACTCAATTCCAAACAACATTCTGAAAAAGGAACTTTTAGAACACATACTTTTTAATATAGGCACTGCCTAAAAATTTAACATTTGATTTTGGGGTGTTGCCCTTCTACTTTTCCTCTTCCCTGTAAAAAAAAAAAAAGATTATCAGCTTATTTATTTAGTTTAAAGAAATTGTTTATATAGCTTTGATTAGGTTTTAATTCACTTATGGATTGAGGCATAGTACCTAAATGATATATCTCCTATGCAGTATTTTTATTAAGTATCTTTTTATTTGTATTTTTGTTTTTGAGATGGGGTCTCACTATGTGGCCCTGGCTGGTCATGAACTCCTGAGCTCAAACAGTCCTACCACCTCAGCATCCTGAGTAGCTGGGATTAGAGGCACATGTTTTCTTAAGTGGTTGTTTTTTCTTATCTTAAATTTTTCCCTAAGTTAAACATCCATTTTAAAAATATACCCATTCTGGTTAGTGATTCAAGTTAGGAGCTACATTTTGGAGCTTGATATTGAAGGTGTGACTTGTCCTAAGAAAGTAATGGTAGTAATTGGCATTAAAGGTTAATTGTGGGAATTGTCTTTCCCTGCAGGATGCTCTTAATTGTTTTATTGCCATGATGCCAAGATCTTCAGATCTGATGGGCTTGAGTTCCTCTGGCATTCTGCTGTGCTATGAACAGCTTTCTCAGTATCACTGTTAATGGAATTGACATAAAAATACTGTGTTTGAAGGTGTTAAAATGCTGTTCACTGAGTATAAATGTCTTCAGCAAGTCTTAGGGCAGTAAAATGCAAGATGGCTTTGTGTTTCAAAGCATTTCATGGCAGAAGCAAGATAACAACTTGGTTTTTATTTTTTAATTATACATACTTTAAGACTGAAAGATCTCAGTAAGGGAAAAACATCTATAGTCCTTCAGAAATTAAGAATTAGAATTCTCTACCTAACCTTTCTTGTTTTTAAAATGAGAACTGAAACATGATGTTTTTTTAAACACAAAGTGATATATTGTTTGTGGTTATGAAAATATATGTAGTAAACATTTTAAAAAACATGAATGGGACTGATACATCCCTGTATCAGAATAGTGTTTAACCACTGGAGAAGAAGGATGGGGTTTGATCAGGCAGAGCTACAAAAGGATTTTCAACGATGTCTATAAGCCTTTGTTAAAGGAAAAAGAAAAAGCGTAAGCCAAAAAAAAAAAAAAAAAAAATACAAAGTATATAGGCTTCATTAAAACATAATACATGGGGAACAGTATTAAACACAGTAACATTTTGATGCTCCAGAAACTATCTTAGGTTTTTCCCTGTAAAACAAAATTTTAAGTAAATTGTCTATCATGTTTCTGCACAATCCTGCCTTAGTTAATTTCTACAAAGTCAAATTTTCTGAATTAACAGATGGCAGGCAAGCCTCTTGGAGATGGGTCTGGGGATAGCCGTATAATTGCCATATTGGATCAACTCCCTTTCCCCACAACCCTCATCCAAAAAAAAAATTGCAGCAGACCATTCATTAT